GCTCCTCCTCCTCTTTCCTTTCCTCCCCCTCCTACTACTCCTCCTCCTCCTCTCCTCCTCCCCCTCCTCCTTCTCCTCCTCCTCCTCTCCTCCTCCTTCCCTCCTCCCTCCTCTCCTCCCCCTTCTCCTGCTCCTGCTCCTCCTCCTCCTCCTCCTCCCCCTCCTCCTCCTCCTCCTCCCCCTCCTCCTCCTCCTCCCTACTCCTCTCTCCTCCTCCTCCTCCTCCTCCTCCTCCTCCTCCTCCTTCTCCTCCTCCTCCTCCCCCTTTCGAGCCTTTCGAGCGCGGTCCTGTGCCTCCGCGGGGAGGCACAGCCGCAGCGGCCTCTGCCGCCTCGGCGACGCGCGGCGGGCCCGCCGCGGCCGCGCACAGATAACCCCAGGAGGGCCTCCAGAGGCCAAAGCAAAAAACGAGGGCCAAGGAGGCCCGACGAGGGCCGAAGGGGCACGAGGACCCGACGGCCCAGGGCCCCACCTCTTCTTCGCGGAGGTTGATGGACCTCCTACCCTGACACGTCGACTGAGGGATCGGCCGTTTCCGGTTCGCGAGGGGGCGTCGCGGCCGTCATTTTTGCGGGTCCAGGTCCGTCGGTTTCGGTCCCAGGCCGTTTTCATTGAGCGGAGGTTTACTAAAGGGAGGTTTGTCCATTGCCGAAGACAGGCGCGGCCCCACCCCGGCGCTGTCTCCACGCCTCCCCCACCTCTCCTTGTCCTCGTCCGCCCTCCGTCGGCGTCGGCGGCGAGCGAGGGGGGGGGGAGTGAGAACGAGGAGGCCTTCCCAGAAGGCGGCGGGACTTCTCGGAAGCCCTCGCGCCCTCCGAGAAGTTTATGTCTGTCTTCGGGGAAGGCTCAGAAGACTTCTCAGAAGGCCGGGGGACTTCCGAAATCTCTGAGAGGGCCTTCTCCTTCTCACTTCCCCCCCTCGCTCGCCGCCGACTCCGCCCCAGGGAAGCTCGTTGTTGGTGATGTCTATTTCGGGGGTCGCCTCCTGCTCTGTCATGCAGAACAGACGATCTTACTGCTGCGCGCCCGTACCCGACGGGGGAAGCAAGACACATGCCATCGGCACTGCGGGTTGAGAGCGGGGAGCTCCATCCGTTCGGCCCCGGTGGCCCCCGATGCCGGCGTGCAGCTGGCAGTGCCAGGCCAGCCGCAGTCCTCGACGTGTCTGCAGGATGCTCAGAGCACTTCGGCTGAGGAGGGCTGCAACGGGATGGCGAGGACGGAGAAGAGGGGGGAGCGCAGCAGACCTGGGATGCAGTCGGGGCCCTGAAGAAGGAACCCTTTTCGTTGGGGAGGGGCTTGATGTTCCTTCATTGCTCCACACCTTGCCCAAGGTTTCCCCTCAATTTTCGATGGGGGAAGTCGAAGCTTCGCTTACGAAAAAAGGGGCCTCGTTCCTTCGTTCCTTTTCGATGGGGGAAGTCGAAGCTTAACTTACGAGAAAAAAGGGGCCTCGTTCCTTAGTTAGGGTTCCTGAGGTCAACGCCCCGACTGTAGGACCTTCCGCCTCAAAGCACCTCCTCGCGCGTCCCTGCGTTATTTATTGTACCCTATGCGTTATGTATTATTTGTTGATCGTTCCCTATGCGTTAATCCTTGGAAGAAAGGGGCTTCGTTCCTTATTTATCGTTCCTTAGGTCAAAGCCCAGACTGTAGGCCCTCCCGCCTCAGAGCACCTCCTCCGTGCGTCCTTCCGTTCCTTCCCTTTCTGCGCAGGCAGGCAGCGCGCCTCTGAGAGAGGCGACGAGCGCCCCGTGAGCCTGCCACAACTCCAGGCGAGAGCGCCCCGCTCCTGACAAGGAGGAGTGCCGCCGTGCTCCCTCCGGCGAGAGAGCGGCGCGGCGTGGGATGCGGAAAGGAGGCACGGTCACGCTGGCGACAACCGGGGCGCCCGGTCGAGCGCCCTGCTTCGAACAGGAGCCGGCCCCAGTCCGAGCAGCTGTTCAACAGCTGCTCGGAGTCGCGGGCGGGTCGCGGGGTGGGTCGCGGGTGAGTCGGGAGCCTCGAGACGGGGGTCAATGCAAATGGGGGTCAGCCAGGGCGCCGGATCCTGCAGGATCCTGCGAAGACCCCCTCTGGCTGACCCGGGTTTGCGAGCCGCTCGTGGCCACGAGGCGGCCGCGCGTATTGGCTGACCCGGGTTTGCGAAGATCTGCGTTGCATTTGTTTTTTCCTGCATTGCAGTTTTTGGTTTCCTGCTGACCCGGGTCTGGATTGACCCGGGTCAGAAGATCCCCGATGTTGCACAGGGTCCCGCACCCGGTCCTCAGATCAGAAAAAGAACTTGTCGTGCGACAGACCGAGTTTGGAAAGGAGCCGCCCTCAATACGTGCAGCTCGTCCGTGCGATCAAGCGTCCAGTCGTTAGACCCGCAGGGAAAACACAAGCAACAGCCCATCTGCGCAACAGGAGGTGCCTTCCAATGTTACTCGCAGTTCTGCGCGTCGTAAGTTTAGAAATCCATGTCCAAACCGAAGCGCCATGCATACTTGTAACGGCTGCAAGCGTTTACGACGAAATTGAGTGGCGCTTTGGCGAATTCTGCATTTTGGGTACGAGACGGCATCGATCCCTGAAGCTGCTGCAAAGGTTGGAGAATATTGCGCACGGCGCGAAGGCGAGAGCCGCATTCTGAAAACCACCCCCCCTTCAATCGTTGAAGCTGTTGCACAGGTGTACGAATGATGTGCGCAGCCCGAAGGCGGGAGCCGCATTCCGAAAATGCCCGGCCCTCCATCCTGTAAGTTTTTGAAGCGTCAGGGAAGAATGTGCGCGGCGCTACGGCGAGAGCCGCATTGTGAAGACGACAGGCCCTCCATCCTTGAAGTCGGAGGTTATTTCGCTTCACGATGATCGTTTGCACCACGGCTGTTGCTTCGGCAGAGTAGAGGTTTATTCCGGAGGAGGACGGACGGAGGGGGCAGAGAGGAGGAGTTGGAGGGAGCAGCAGGAGCGCGGGGAAGGGGCTTCGTAGGGAGGGAGGGAGGGAGGGAGAGAGAGAGAGAGAGAGAGGGAGAGAGAGAGGGAGGGAGAGAGGGAGGGAGAGAGCGAGGGAGGAGTACTGGAGGCTCACTATAGCAGGGGCCGGGAGACGCGGGGTGACGACGCGCGCGCCGTTTTCGTGCTCCTCTCGGGTCCGCGGCGGCAGCTTACTCCTGGACCGGCGTCCTGCGAGCTGCGGTCCCCGCCCCGCGTGTCGTGCTCCTCCCGGAGGAGGGAGAGGATCGGAAGTGGACAGACCTTGGGAACCCCCAAACCGGGTGGTGAGATACCAGGTGGCGACCTGGAATCCCCCCAAAAGGTCACCGCTGGGTTTGGGGACGCGGGATCACCACCGGGTTTTGTGACTCCTGGACCCACCGATGTCCGGGACATCCTCGGAAAACCGCACGAGTCCCCAAACCGGGTGGTGACACCAAATCGCCCGAGAGACTCACCGCCAGGTGTTGTCACCACCACGTTTGGGGACTACCAAGTGGACAGACCTCCTACCCTAACACGTCGATTAAGGAATTGGCCGTCTTCGGTTCGCGAGGGGGCGTCGCGGCCGTCCTTTTTGCGGGTCCGGGTCCGTCGGTTTCGGTCCCAGGCAGCTTTCACTAAGGGGAGGTCTACTAAAGGGAGGTTTGTCCACCGCCGAGAAGATGAGGTGGATCAGCGCACGTGAGCCCGAGACGCGTCAACGAGGTTGCAGCTAATCCTCCCTCCGCGCTCCCTCTTCAGAAGTCCCCCCACGCGCATGTATGCTCACTGCGCGAAGCGCCCCTCTTTGGAAGACAACCATCTCAGATCCCTCAATCGTGCAACCGTTCCTGGCATTCCAAGTCCGCAGATCTAAGTTACAGTTGGGTCCTGACGACCCTGACCCGTGCCAGAACACCATTCGCGGGACTGTAGTACCGCGAGTTGACGTGACTGTTGCGCCCTGGCAATCCTAAACCGTGGGGGATCGCCATTGCTGGGGTGGCTACCACACTAACCTTTGAACTTGCTGTAAGCTGCCAAGACGAGTGTGCGCGGCGTTATGGCGAGAGCCGCATGTTGAACACCACCTGCCTTACATCTTTGAAGCTGGTGTAAATTTGTACGGCGACTTTGCGCGGTGTGGAGGCGAGGGCTACGGTTTGAGAAGGAGCCGCCTTCAACCCGTGAAGCTCTTGCAAACTGTTAAGACGAATGGCCGCGGGGTTAAGGCAATAATCACATATTCAAAAGGAACAGCCCTCCATCTCTGAAGCTTTTCACTCAGGAGGGAAAGAAACACAGACACAATGAATGGTCGACTCCCAGGAAAATATGGGAAAATATGGGAAGTGGGGGGAAGACAGAAACCCCGAAAATATTGGAAACTATGCCGAATCCTTTTATTTGTGTGTATTTATTTGTGTGGCCTGGGGCCCCTTCATTCCACTCTGTCAGGACGAGTGGTCGCGGCGGTAGGGCGAGAGCCTTGTTTTGACGTGCAGCCGCCCTCCATCCCTGCAGCGGCCTGCTGCAGCAATTCCAGGCGAAGGCATGCGACGCTCAGGCAAACACAAACGTATTCCTTGGAAGCATATAAAACACAAAAATAAAAAAGAAAAACACAACAAACACACAAAAAGAAAACGAAACACAGCGTTACTAGTTTTAATTATGTTTCTTATTTTATATATATATATATATATATATAAAAACATCCGTGAAGCTCTTGAGCAGGTGTAGAGGCGAATGCGCGCGGGGCAGTGGCGAGAGCCACCCGCTGCCAACGGCCCGCCCTCCGTCCGTGAAGCGATTGCACGTGGTAAGCTTTAGGACCATACATGGTGGGCAAGGAGGAGGAAGAGGAGGAGGAGTAGGAGGAGGAGGAGGAACAGCTGGAGGAGGAGGAGGAGGAGGAGGAGGAGGAGGAGAGGGAAGAGGAGGCGGAGGAGGAGGAGGAGCAGTTCCGCAGCCGCTTGGACGCAGGCTTCTTGGCGGCCCAATCTCGCAGACTGTAACATATTCTTGCTTATCGCAGCATGCGGGGCCTCGCCCGCTGCGCCTTGCTCGTCGCAGCGCGCGCGGCCCTGGGCTTCCAGTTCCTGGAGGCTCAGCCTCGTTCAACCGATCCCCATATCCACTTGGCCGTGGTGTCTCACCCGCCCCCGCGAAACCCGAAGGGACAGGCATTTATGAGATATGATTATGATCTAGGGTTCTGTTCCCCCCCTCATGCAGATGCTGTCGGGACCCTGGCCCACCCCTCGTAATGGGCCCCTACCTTCCTTGTGGTCGTGACCCTGTGGGCATGGCACGGTCATCGTCGTCGTCGTCGTCGTCGTCCATCATGGATGGGGAAGGGGCCTGTGAATTCTTGGACCCATCCCATCGGGGGGGGGGGACCTGTGAACTCTCGACCAGGCAAAAGATTCACCCAGGCGCCCAGTGGGGCCAGGGCCACGCCAGTGGGGGCAGGGATCCTTCGAGACGATGCTCCGAGGCTGGCCACCAGAGCCTCAGTTCGGGCGCGGACGGGCTCGACACCGCCGAGGGCGAGACGTCCTCGGCCGCCCTGGACGAGATCAGCGCGGTTCTCGGGGGAGGAGGGGGGGGGGGGGGCCGCCGCCGCCGCTGCGCCGCTTGCCCTGGAGAGCCCTCGTCGCCAGGGCTGGGTGCTCCCTGGAGTTCTGGTGGGCACGGGTGCCTCTTTGCCCCCCACCCCCCCAGGTTCAGTCCTCGGCCGCCCTGGACGAGATCAGCGCGCCGCAGCCGCAGCCCTCCATCGCCCTGGTCGGGATCGGCGCACAGCAGCAGCAGTCCGACCAGGGCCGCGGCGCCGAGCGGGCGCACGGTGAGGCCCTGATCGCGCGGCTCGGCGGCGAGGCGAGGGAGCGGCTCAGGAGGCTGGCGGGCGCCAGCGACGACGCGGCCCTGGCCGCGGCGGTGTTCCCCACGCCGGCCGAGGTCGAGGGAGGAAAAAGCCGGCATGCACACAGCTGTCTGGGCGGCAGCAAGGCGGGCGAGTCGGCACGCACACCGACTTCCGAGGGTCCGACCCGGGGGTGCTTCTTGGATCTGTGCTGGCCCCCCGGCGGCGCCTCTTTGAAGCCGCCCCCTGGCGCGCTCTGCGCGCCAGGGCAGGGGCTGGGGGGTCCAACGCAGATCCGAGAGATCGGCGCGGACCTCAAGGAGAAGCCGGCCTGCCAGGTGCCGCACGGACGTTGCTTACCCCTCGAATGCCTTGGCGGCCAGCAGAAGCCGCGGTGCACCTCAGGAATTCCAAAGCCCGACGACAAACGTGCCCATATTTCTTCTCAGGCATCTAGCGCACGATTTGTTCGATGCGTGAAGTCCTGGGGGTCTCGACGACTTCCCTAGGACCGGTGTTCCGTCCTCTTTGTCGTCTTCTGACCGTCGGGAGGCCCGTTGAGGGCCACCAGGGGGCCGAACACGACGAAGCATCTCCGTCTCGATGTTGCTCGAGACGCCGGATGCGTGGGCGTTGATCTCTTGCAGTGGGCAGCAAGAAGACTTATCATCGCGTGTGCCCGCTGTATGAGTGTGCTGGCTTCCCTCACGCTGCGAGGACAGGCCGCTGCTGGTGGCGCCCCCTCACCTGCGCAGCCGGCAGTCGTGGGCAAACAAAAACAGATCCGTATCTGCGTCCTCGCGGGCCAGGCCCCTGGGCCGCGACCCCGCGGATACGGGGCGTCCTCTCGCGGATGCCCCGCGCGGAACGTATCTGCGCAACTGCGCATCCGCGGGATCGCCCCCCAGAATCCAGGCGGCGAGGGCGTGGATACGGATCTGCCACAAAGGCTACTATCGGGTTGGGAGGAAGCGTTTGGGAGAACTGCTCAGATCACTGGTATTGTCGCGTATGTTGAATGGGCTTGGTGCGCAGTCGTGCCCTGTATCTTCCCAACCCCTTCCTCCCAACAAGGAAGTTGTCTTTCCCAATGTCTGTTCGCCGCCCGTGAGGCAGCAGCCCGCTTCCGCGCAGGCAAGCCTCCTCGGCCTCGGGGCCGCCCACGCAGAGGCCGAGGGCGGCAGCCGGTCGGCCGCGGGGTCGGCCGGCTCCGGCGCGGGCGCGGGGGAGTTCGCGCCCTCCGCCGAGTTCCAGGCCGCGCCACGGAGCAAGCCGCGCCCCTGACCCAGAGCTCCGAGGCTCGAGGAAGATTGGAGCGGCCTGTTTTCGTGCGCGCGAATCCACTTTCCCTGTGGGACCACGCCCCCTGCACCAGTCCATGGCGTACCTTGTCCTGTGCAAGATCTTCGGCACCGCCTGTTTTCTGAGCCCTCCGGCCGCCTGAGGCCCCGCCCGCCCGCGCCCTGTCTCCCCAGTTAGGGCTACCCGCGCCCCGTTTAGCTCTTGACCGGAAGGGGCCCGCTCCCGACCCGCAGACCAAAAAACGTTTTCGTGCACGCAGCACCCTGCAGTCGCGGATCAGAGTGAGAGGGCGGCGGGGGTCGCCCGGCAGTCTGCGAGGCTCTGCAGGAGCCCGCTGCAGGCGTTGCCAATTATGCAACGAGCCCTCCGCAGGCGCCGACATTTTCGCGAAAGCAAGTGCAGTGGGTGGGTCGTGGGTGGCGAGAACGCAACAACAATCCGCACCGCAGATCCCCAATTCAGCCACGCGCCCAGGGACAATGAATGACCGTTCGGCCACCTCACGATTTTTGGCCCCCAGGGGCCCTCAGCGGGCATTGGGGTCTTCAAAACATTGATTCAGGATGAGAAGCCGACAGTAGGGGAGTGGTCCAAAGTTCCCAGGTCCACGCATCGAAAACTTGAAGCGTTGGCTGGCTGGGGAGAGGGAAGCGGGTCCCGAGGTCTGGTCCGTCGCCACGGAGCAAGCCGGGTCCTGAGGGTGCTCGTTCTTCTGTCGGTTTCTGTACGTCGCTTGCGTGGATGGGGAGAAGGGGGGGGTCGTGGCGAGGCCCGAAAGGAACTCGTGCATTTCACGCAAGTGGGGACTCACATGCACGCCTGCTCGACCCAGCACTGCCCGACACCGCGGCAGACGGGAGCGGAGGGCGGGGAGCGGGCCCCGAGGTCCGTCGCTGCTCTCGGGGCCCTCCCGCGGCCCCAGGACCGCCAAAGAACGCCTCGGGATGAAGAGCTCGGCCTGGGGGAAGGCTTAAGTCGGGCCTGTCCCTCTACAAGAGGAATATTCAAAAATAGTAAACACAATCTTGGGACGATGCCTTGAGCACGTTTTACGACCCGGGATTATGTTTTGGGGTATTTTCCATGTTTCGTCCAAAATCCTCTTGTATGGGGGACATGCCCGACCTAAGGGAAGGCCGAAGGCCCCAGGGTCCAGGGCCCGTTGCCGTCAGGGCCCGCCTGCCTACATTATGCAGTACAGCACGTGAGCGGCCGCTCGTCCTGGATGGCATGTACACCAGCGAGTGGCACCACGCAGCGCCCACTAGCGCCCCGTAGCGCCGAGCAGCGCTCAGATGGCGCCCAGTCCACGAGGGAGAGGCGTGCCGTCCGCTCGGCGCGCTAACCTGGGCGCCGTGGGGACGACGGACAGCTCCCGTGAGCTGCGTTCCAAATTTCCTTCTTGCCAGAGGCCGCCGAGGCCTCCGGCGGCGGGGACCGTGCCAGCAGTGCCGCCGAGGCCGCGGCCGAGGCCGCGGCCGGGCTGCCCTGGGGGGTCGGCTCGCCCCGCACCGGCGACTCGCTGCCCGTCTACCACTACTCTGCCATGCCGGCCATCGACGGCCCCAAGGATCGCAAAGGGCCAAGACTAAGTAGCTAAATCCCTTGAGATCCAGACTTTCCAATCATGTCCTTCCAGGCGCTTTCAGTCAGTTCTGGGCCCCAGGACCATCACAAATCGATCCAGCTCGGAAAACGCCGCAGAGGGATACAGGGTGTATGGCTCGAGCCGTGATTTCTCGCGATGCTGCGAGTTTCCCGCAACGTAGGATCTCGGGGTGGGGCTCACAGCTAGTGGGGGTCAGCGCCGACGGGGGTCAGCCAATCTCCTCTGGCTCACCCCGGTTGGGGAGCCAAGTGGGCCCGATTCCCCCTTGTTCGGAGGAGGAGGAGGCGGAGGAGGAGGAGGAGGGAGGAGAAGGAGGAGGAGGAGGAGGGAGGGGGACGAGGAGGAGGAGGAGGAGGAGGAGGAGGAGGAAACCATCCGCGGGCCCGGGCTCTGGAGCGGCCGAGCGGCGGGCCGAGCGCTTCGCGACCAGGGCCCATGGTCGCCCCGAGACTGTGGTTATACCGGGGCCAGCGCGTCGCCGCAGGACCATTTGTTTTGCTCCGAGCGATCCCCAAAAGGGGGCCCCAGCGAAGCTCCAAGTGAGCCGCGCGGACCGTCCAAAGTCCGGCAGCTTGGGGCTGTTCGCTTGAACGACAGACGGCGCCCCCCGAACACACATTCACACTGTGTGTCACCACCCACCAAACCCCAACCCAACCCGAAGGCTCAAATTTACCCTCGATTTCCAGGTGGGGAGGGGTCGGGAAACATCGACCAAAACACATGTGGAACCCTTACCCCCCCAACCCGGAATTCGGGGTGGTCTGGTAGGTCGTCAGTGTGTGTGTGTGTGTGTGTGTGTGTGTGTGTGTGTGTGTGTGTGTGTGTGTGTGTGTGTGTGTGTGTGTGTGTGTGTGTGTGTGTGTGTGTGTGTGTGTGTGTGTGTGTGTGTGTGTGTGTGTGTGTGTGTGTGTGTGTGTGTGTGTGTGTGTGTGTGTGTGTGTGTGTGTGTGTGTGTGTGTGTGTGTGTGTGTGTGTGTGTGTGTGTGTGTGTGTGTGTGTGTGTGTGCGTGGCCCCGCCTGGCGCAACGCGCGCGCCGAGGAGTCTCATGGCACGGGCTCCCTGGCGGGCGCTCGCTTGCCACACCGCTCGCGGCACGACATATTTTCACCACAAGACGGGCACACTGCGTGCTCGGGTCGGAGGCGCGCGCCTCCGAGGAGGACGCACACTAATTGCTCGCCTGTGCTTGCGCGTCCCAGGACGATGAGGGGTGGAGCTCGACCCACCCTGGCCCGCGGTCCCCCCGCCCCGCAGGTACTCCTCCTCCTCCTCCTCCTCCTCCTCCTCCTCCTCCTCCTCCTCCTCCTCCTCGTCGTAATCCTCCTCCTCCTCCTCCTCCTCCTCCTCCTCCTCCTCGTCGTAATCCTCCTCCTCCTCCTCCCGGCCCAGAGGGTGTGCCGTGCCGGCGCTCCCTGGGCATCCCGCCCGGTGCCTGCGGCGAGTGGCGGCCGCACGGCCGCGGCCGCCGGGCCTGGCCGGGCGCGCGGCTCCGCGGTGTGTGCGCGGGTGCTCTTTGCGCGTGCCGCCGCGCGTGAAGTCGGGCGGGGATCGCTCGAGGCAAGCTCGTGTTCACGTCGCGGTGCCATCTCGCAAAGGTTAGGGGCACCGTTGGGGGGGGGGCCATAGGCTCGGGGGGGAACACATCGACCCCCAGTCCCTCTACAGGAGGAACATTCAAAAGTAGTAAAAAGATAGTCAGGGGGCAATTGTTGTGAGCATTTTTTTGCAATTTTGGAGCATTTTTGGCGTATTTGTTATCCTTCGTCGGAAATCCCCCCGTAAGGGGGGCAGGCCCGACGTGAGCCTCGCGTTCTCGGGCGGGGATCGCTCGAGGCAAGCTCGTGTTCATGCCGCTGTGCCATATTGTGGAGGCGAGGGGGAACACATCGACCCCCAGTCGCCAATTCATCGCCGATGGGGGCGCGACAGCCCACCCCGCCCAGGAACTCGGCGGTTTGCCATCGGGGGCCTACAGCCGATGCATCGACGACGCATCGCCGATTTCCAGGCCGATGTTTCCCCCCTGAGCGAGAACACCCGTGACGCTGCGCCTCGGGAGCAGTAGCGTGTCGCTCCGCCGGTTCTGGCCCACCGCGCCTCGGCGCAGCATTCTATCCACGCCCCAGTCCCAACGATACCCGCCTGCAGGGCACGGCGTGCCGCCGGGACCGCCGCAGCGGACACGCCAAACAAGAGTTTCCAGCCGTATGTTTCTTTCTCCTATTCGAAAGGTAGTGGGAGCACAGCCCTACCACCCACCCCGCCCAGGATCGTGCTGGTTTACCATCGCTTGCCCGTCGCCAATCTACAGACGATGCATCGCCGCTTCCAGGTCGATATACTTTACCCCCTGAGCCAGACTCCCTCAACGCTGCCCCTCAAGAGGAGTGGGAGTACAGCCTGGAGAGCGGGGACAACATCCAGAGCTTCAGCGGCGCGCAGCAAGACGTGAAGCTGCTGACGCAGGTCTTCGAGAACGTCACCAACGGCTTCTACGTGGACTCCAATGCTGGGGACGGCGAGGCCAACAGCAACACGCTGCTGCTCGAGCTCGCCGGCTGGCGCGGCCTCATCATGGAGCCGCGCCCTCAGCTGGCCTTGGAAACGACAGGGCTGGCTCTTCCCCTGGCTCCGTTCCTCGGCTTCCTGTGCTGGCTCCGTCGCTTTCTGCTTCCGGTGCCAGCGCCGTGCTTTTGCTCGTGTCGGTTGGCAGGTGTGCGTGGGCGTGCCCAGTGGCAAAAGAGCCAGCTTTAGGAGGGCCCCCACGGCCGGTGCCGCCGACCCTGCCCCCAGGACCTCCCCCCCCTCTACAGAACTACCCCGCCCGGGACCTCCCCGTGGATCCCCCTCCCCGCTGCTCCCCCGCGACCCCCCCACCCCCAGGGTGGGGAAGGGGTCAGAGCGAAGGGGCTTCCGTTCGACTCGAGTGCGACGCTGCTCGATTTCTCTCTGGCTGGGACGTTTGAAGACAAGGGCCCTTTGACAGGGACAGGGGGCAAGCGGTGACGGCGACATCGACGACGACGACGACGACGACGACGACGACGACGGCGACTCAAACGGATAAGCCTCTCACACACGCCGACGTGGTCGGCGGACTTTCGGAAACGGTGTAAAACAACTTGTTCTGCCGTTTCCAGGGCCCACTGAGGCCACGCCCCTACTGGTACCTGAACCTGTGGAGCAAGTGGCGCAAGGCCTGGCTCTTCCTCGGGTGCCTTTCCCCGCACGAGAACTCCACAAAGATCGGCTTCGACACTGACGGCAACATCGACATGCTGAGCGGGCACATGATCCACGCCCACCCAATGAAGGCCTTCATGGCCGAGATGGGCGGGCGCAAGACGATCGACTTCTGGAACCTGCACAGCGGCAACTACGAGGCCGAAATTCTGAACGAGACTCTGCTGGGCTCCGGCGGCTTCCTCGAGTTCGGCGTCGTCCTTGTCCGCTTTGACGGCCGTCGCGCGGGGCGCGGGACGGAGGCGTACGTGCAGATGAGGTCGAGGGACGCCACCGAGGAGCTCATCTTCGAGATCTGCCACAACGCCAGCCTGACGCACATCGGCGGCCTCGACCCGTACTGGATCAACCACGTCGAGCCGCGCTACGGGTTCAGGGACGAGGTCTGGGTGAACCCGAGGTACTTCGAGAGTCGAGGGATCCCGACGCCCGCGACGATCAAGTCGGCGCCGCCGCCTGCGCTGGCCGGCTACTCCCCTGCAGCGGAGGACTTCCCGTGGGACTCCGGCTACAGCAGGGTTGAGGAGATCGGCAAGGTCAAGCTGTACTTCAACAAGAGTAAGTCAGATGCGGCCCTGATGGAGCCGCTCCCGAAGGCCCACCGCGTAGGCGCGACGAAGTTGGTCTACTAGGCTTCCTTGAGCGCACTTCACGCGACGAGAAGCGGTTTTTTTTCTGACCCCTTTTGGCAAGGATGCCAGCGAGCTTGCTTGGGCTTGTGGTGCGTTGTCCACGGAGGAGAGATTTGCCGAGCGAGCCGCTCTCTCTTTTCCCTACCTGGTCTCCTTCTCCCCCCCCTCTTCTCTACTACGCTTCCCCATGTGTCGTTCTTCCCCTCCCCCAGGCTTTTGGCCAGGGCGGAGGTGCGCGAGGGCATCCGCCGTTAGCGACGAACCCGCCGGCAGCTCGAAGCTCGAAGCGGACGTGAAAGGTGTGCAGCTACGGTTGCGCCCCGCCGCAGGCAGCTGTCTTCCTTGGTCGGGGAGCTGTCCGAGGGGGCCCCGAGCCCCTTCGGTGCCCCAAGCGCCGAAGTGGAGAATGGGAGCGGGACAGGGGTCCAGCCTCAGCCTGCGCCAGAGGCGGCAAGTGGAAGCGGTGGAGTGGGGCCGGACGGTTTCCGCTGTGGGGGGGACGGGGGATGCTGTGGTGGGGGGCGCATAGTGTTGATGTCCACGGGCCCTGGGGGAGACATCTAAAGAAGGAGCCGAGTACATGCGCAGATGGTGCACCCCCAATCCCCGAGCGGGACCACTGGGGCGAGAGGAGCTTTCGAGGTGTGGGGCCACGGAACGCGTGAGGGTTGTGCCGAAGTAAGCGTGGCGTCCACGTGTGGACGGTGCCCCTGGGGTCACCGGTAAGGCTTTCTATGTACGGGCCCACGAAAGGCGTGAGGGGTGTGCCGAAACGGGCGTGACGCCCACATGTGGACGGTGCCACTGGTGGGATTTCCTATAGGCCCACGTCACGTGTGAGGGTTGAGCCGAAATTGGCATGCGGGAGCTGAGGCATGGACGGGAGGAGGAAGAAAGCGGCAGGAGGATGAGGAGGAGGAGGAGGAGAAGGAGGAGGAGGAGGAGAAGGAGAAGGTGTGGATGTTGGGCGCTGTCTCTGCAAAAAGAGAACCCAACAACACAGGATGGTTGGGCACAAAAAGGCTGGGGAGGATTCGGAAGAGGGGGGGATGTGAACGGAGGAGAGGGAGGAGGATGGGGGATTGGTGAGGGATCCAGGGCTTTCGAGGCGCTTTTGGGGCGTACTTGGAGGATTTGGGAGATTTCGAGGAATCGGAGGAGGAGGACGGCGAGGAGGAAGAGGAGGTGGAGGGATGGGGATCCTGGAGGAGGACTGGGCAGAGTGCGGAACAGCCGGCGTGCCTGCGCGGGGCTGTAATCAGGGCCCTGGAAGCCAGGATTCTGCAGACCAGAGCTCTGCCAGATCCCGCGGGATGAAGCCGAAGAAGGGACGGCGCCTCGAGCCGCGGCTGCAGGGGTCTCGGGTGCGCCAACGTCCACGGCTTGGCAAGCTCCCCGTTTGCGTGGCCCTGGCGAAAGACGGATGGCGGGAGGACTCTCCGTCACCGACTTCGGCGGCAAGAGCATCGCGCAGGTGGCGATCCTGGGCATCCAGATGGTGTGGACGCACGACTTCCAGTCCGCGCTGGTGCGGATGTCGCGAGACAAGGAGCTTGGTGCCGTGTCCAGCGTGACCCCTGCCTGCCCCGTATGGACCTTCCGGTCGGGAACTTTGGCTCAGCCTGTCGTTCCGCAGGATTTGGCCCACCATGCTGCGGCGCGACGCGCTATCCACGTCCTGGTCACCAGGCGTCAAGAACCCTATGGCTTCGAATACTCACGTCCCGCGGAACGGAGCGACATGCTATCCGCTCGCAAGGCATAGCGGCCCTGGATTTCTTGGCTTTCGACGGTGTTGCTATGGAAGGCGTAACGTTCCCACACCAGAGCTCGATGGGCGTCCTGGGGTCTCCGGGTTGGGTTTGTTGTGGAAGGTTTCTTGTTGTCGAGCTCCTCCTGTAGCGTAGAGCAGTGTCTGGTAAGCAATGAGATGGCGCCGATCTAGCGTCGATGGGCGTCTGTCAGCGTCGGCCCGCGTCGATTTAGCGTCGACTGGCGTCGATTAGCGTCGATCGCCGTCGACCAGCAAGACGGTAAAGGAGGCCCCCATGAGTTGCCACCGCAGAGTCGGAATCGGGACAAGCAATGAGAGCACTGCGTCCACAATGTTGCTGCATGGATAGGGGAACAGAAAGTGACATAAACATGAAAACTCGGAGGTCCGCGCGGATTCCTCGGATCCGCGCTGGAGCCCCCTAGCGGCGCCTCCGGCGCCGCCCCTGGCGCGCTCCGCGCGCCAGGGAGGGGGGTGCAGCGCGGATCCAAGAAAGCCGCGCGGACCGCCGAGTTTGTATGTTTATGCCACTTTTCGTTCCCCCCTACTGAAGTAGCAGTGGCGGTATGGAAGAGAAGCGTCCACCTCCTCCCCCGGAGAGACCGCGGGCCCCCCCTCGGCGTGAGAGGCTCCGTGAGCCGGAGTGGTCCCAGGTCGAGCCTCCGCGAGGCGTCACGCTTGGCCGCCCCTGGCGCGCTCCGTCATTTTTTCGTTCCCCATCATGAAGTAGCAGTGGCGGTATGGAAGAGAAGCGTCCACCTCCTCCCCCGGAGAGGCCGCGGGCCCCTCCGCGGCGTGAGAGGCTCCGTGGGCCGGAGTGGTCCCAGGTCGAGCCTCCGCGGGGCGTGTCGCGCTCGGCCGCCCTGCGCCTGGCAGCCGTGCCACTGCGGGGGGGGGGGGGGCGACCCGTCCTCCTCCGCCTCCTCCTCCTCCTCCTCCTTTTCTTCCTCCTCCTCCCTCCTCCTCCTCCTCCATCTCCTCCTCCCCCTCCCCCTCCTCCACCTCCTCCTCCTCCTCATCCTCCCCCTCCTCGGGACGCCTACGGCCCCGGGGGAAACCGTGCAGGGGGGGGGGGGGGGAGATGGGGGAGAGGGGGGCGGCCTTCCAAGAGGTGCACCCCGCCTCGCCTCTGCACGCACGAAATTCGGGCCGGACGAAAGGGGGGGATTGGGAAAGGAGGGGTTACGGAATTTGCTGCATGCAGCTGGTTTCGGCCTCACCGAGGGGCCCATTCCTCGATGCATCGCCGCCTCCCGCGCCGGGAGGCGCCCGGAAAATCAGCTGCGTGAGCTGATTCTCGAGCCCCCCTTTGCTATCCCCCCCCTTTCGCCCGACCAGAGAAATGGGCACGGAAAGACTGGGTACAGTGCCCAACAGCCGTTCCTGCTCATTTTGAGCAGGGCTCGCTGTCCGCGCCGCCGCGGCCTGTGTGTCCATTCGAGATAGAAGGCCGCCTGCCCAACAGCGGCCGCTGTTGGTTTGGGACAACACTTGTTGTTGGGAATGGTGCCCATTTTTTTCCGTACCCATCTCGGGCGTCCAAATCTTCGATCGGGGGCAACAAGAGCATGGATTAAGGCGCGTGGATTGGCGCCTGTGCCCGTTTCCATGCGACATCTGCGCGCTCCGTCGCCAAGTCAGGCGCCACTGGCCTCATGCTGTGGGGGTACCTGCCCCCATCTGTGGATCTGGCGCCGACCCCCCCCACATGTCTTCTCCAGCCCTCTAGTGTGTGGAAGAGGCAGCACGGACGGTCTTCGCCGTCTAGTGGGCCTCTGGGGGCCCTCGCTGGGCCCAGCGACAATCCCAGAACGACTCGGGAAGAGAAGGCAGCCTTATGTAGCGAAAGGGTCTGGACTTCCGGGGACTCCGTATTGGTTCAAGAGGTCGGATCTGATGGTGCAGGGAATCTCCTCAGCAGCACCCCAGAGGAAGGGGTCGGTCGGCGACTCAGGAAGAAAAGACAGCCTCATGTAGGGAAAAGGTCTGGACTTCTGGGGACTCCGTATCGGTTCAAGAGATCGGATCTGATGGTGCAGGGAATCTTCTCAGCAGCACCCCAGAGGAAGGGGTGGGTCGGCCCTCTCCTAAGGAGCCCCCTGCCTTCGTAGAAGGTCCTGCCCCCCCACCCCTCGCCACATCTCCGCATGCGCGGCTCCGCGCGTGTTCTGAGGTTGCCACCTGCCAGCCTGGACTGCGAAGCCTGTAGTTTACATCATCCTCTCGTCTCCCGTGTGCTCCACCTCCTTCTCCTCCCTCTCCCTCTCCCCCTCCTCCTCCTCCTCCTCCTCCTCCTCCTCCTCCTCCTCCTCCTCCTCCTCCTCCTCCTCCTCCTCCTCCCCTTCATCCCCTTCTCATTCTATCCTCATCTTTCTCCCTTCCAAAGCGCTTGCCACTCGAGCTGTCGCTGCCAGCATGAGTTTCGCTCAAGCTTCGGCCCGTCAGCAGCGTGCCGATGTCTTCCCAGGCACGACATGTTTGGCAGCCTTGCGCGGACATGCGCGTGCGCGCGTGTGTGCGCGCGCACGAACGCGTGCTCTTGTTTTGATTTGCGCGTTGATGGCCATGCCGCTGTTTCAATTGCCAAGTATGGTTCCAAAGCGATGCCATTGCTTGGCGCGTCGTCTGGACACAAATTGATTTCTCGCGGGAAGGATCGCACCGTCATGGCGACAACAAACAAGAAGTTCGTACAGATGTTGAGCGACCTCGTGAACGTCTGCCTCACCGATCTTGGAGGGGACGGGGCAGCATTGGGACCAATCGCTTGTGGGGGAGGCGGCGGGGACCTCGAACTAGGGTGATGATGATGAGGAGGAGGAGGAAGATAGGGCGGAGGAGGAGGATAGGGAGGAGGAGGAGGAAGAGGAGGATGAGGAGGACGACGACGACGCAGAGAATACCACGAGGATGCCTTGAGAAGTACACGACGTACTAAGCCACACCACAGCATTGCCCAAGCGCAAGCTCCTCGCTGAGCGCGGGCACGTTAGGATGCAACTCCTGGGAGGGGTGAACTCAGTATCGGCGCTGGTATATCCGATGTCGGGAACTGATGCGATCTGGCACGGTCCCGTTTAATCCCGAGCCAAATCTGGGCCCATCCCGCTCAGTGGCCCCTCAATTCGTAACCGTGCTTGTTAACCCTCAGTCGTTCTTACGAAGTCCTCCCAAAGGTTGCTTCCTCATGGTCGATGAGGAGGTAGAGGATAAGAAGGTAAAGGAG